GACCAGGATGGTCTTGATCTCTTGACCTCGTGATCCACCCGCCTCGGCCTCCCAAAGTGCTGGGATTACAGGCTTGAGCCACCGCGCCCGGCTTAATTAACTCATTCTAAAAGGTGAGGGTTCTCTTTCTATTTCTGAAGGTAGTTTGTAAAGTTAGAACAAATACAGTCATCCCTCAATATCAGAGGGGAATTGGTTCCAGGAGGTACTACACCCTCCATAATGCTCAAGGTTGATAGAAAATGGTGTAGTATGTGCATGTAACCTAAATACACCCTCCTGTATACTTTAAATAATCTCTAGATTAATTATAATACCATGTAAATAGCTGTTAGTTTTAAAAAAATGTATATTAGGTTGTTGAATTATTATTTATTATTTTTAATATTTTTGATCTACAGCTGGTTGAGTCTGAGTTTGGAACCTCAGGATATAGAGGGCTGACTGCATTTTACATAAAAGTTTACAACTGTGATAGCATCCAAAACAATAGAAATACTTCAGTTTCACAGATTTTTACAAGTTTCAATAAAACTCAATGTTTAGCAACGAAATAATCAAACAATTTCTCTTTTACTTCCCATATGTGAAGGAACGTACCCACTGCTTTATCTCTTGGTGTCTCCACATAATTGCTGTTTGAAGGAGAATCTGACAGACACAGAAGAAGTGACAGTATGGAATAATGTGCATCTGTCTTTAAAACAAAAAAATGAAGAACATGAATCTCTGAGGTTGGGAAATGCTTTCTACACTAGATTGAGTAAAGACAACTCCATGACAGTTATATCCCCAAGTTTTTTCCTGGTTTGAGAAAACATGAGTTATACCTAAATAATTCCTAACCTTCAAACTTTTTCATAGTTCAAATGCATACACGAGGAAACTCAAAGCCATCTGAAGTCTGAGTTCTATATTTCTAACAAGTGTAAGATCTGAGTGGATAAGAGCTTTTATTTCTAAAATGACGGAAATGTCTTTGGAGTGTAACATTATGGTTAAAAATTATTCTCCTGTGGCAATAGCTTATTATGAAGCTCACAGGCGTCCGATAGTGTAACTCAGATGTACCATATTTTATTTAACCAGTCCCCTATTAGTGACATTTAGATTTTTCCCCAATCTTTCATTATCACAAACTTATGTTGTTGCATAATTGTGAGTTTATCTATATGATAAACTCCTAAAAAGAGAAATGCTAAGTCAGAGTGTTTGCATTTGAAATTTTGAGAACGTCAAAATATCCTCCATACAAATGCAAATATACATACATATAAAATGACCTGTTTCCCCACACCTTTATTAATCAGATCAGTGAAAAATGTTATCTGTGTTGCTTTAATTTGCATTTATCTTACCTTATGAAATGATAGGCACTTTTCCATAAGCTTAAAACTCTTGATTTTCCTTTATTAGGTCTCCTTTGTTCAAATTTCTATTTGATTGGCAGTCTTTTTTATTTATATGATTGATTTTTGAATTGGGATATTAGCTGAGCTGTGCAGGAAAGCGCTAACTCAGCAAGCCTGAGTTGCTGAAGCCTTCAATGTCCCCAAAAAGGGCTTATTTTCATGAATAAGCCTTGGCCAGCTTGTGGTAACTGAGCTCTTGAAATATGTGAATTGGCCGGGCGCGGTGGCTCAAGCCTGTAATCCCAGCACTTTGGGAGGCTGAAGCGGGTGGATCACGAGGTCAAGAGATCGAGACCATCCTGGTCAACATGGTGAAACCCTGTCTCTACTAAAACTACAAAAAAATTAGCTGGGCATGGTGGCGCGTGCCTGTAATCCCAGCTACTCAGGAGGCTGAGGCAGGAGAATTGCCTGAACCCAGGAGGCGGAGGTTGCGGTGAGCCGAGATCGCGCCATTGCACTCCAGCCTGGGTAACAAGAGCGAAACTCCGTCTCAAAAAAAAAAAAAAAAAAAAAGAAATATGTGAATTGGCAAAAGTGTTCTGTATGCTCAGATCTTGAACCATGTTGTACTAATCTGTTTAGATAGTTTGTGCAAACAGTGTGACTGAAGGTGAACACCTGCTTTCCTTTGAAGGCTCAGGAACTTTAGTAATTGTGGTTAGTCACACAGGGACCATGCCTAAGAGACAAGCCTCCATATAAAAGCCCCAGAATCTTGGACTCAGGTGTCCAGGTAGACAACGACGGCCACGTGACACAGTATGTCAGAGGAGACAGAGCAAGCATCCAAACCAGACTCAGATATGGCAGGAATGTAGGAATTATCAAACCAGGATCTGAAAACAACTATGATTAATAGGCTAAGGGTGCTAATGAAAAATGTGGATAACAAGGAAGAGTGGATAAGTACTTAAGTGGAGAGATGGAAACTCCAAGAAAGAATCGAAGTGTTCCAAATGAAAAGCTGTCAGAAATGAAGAATGCTTTCGATGGGCTCATCCAGTAGACTGGAATGGCTGTGAAAAGAATCTGTGAGCTTGAAAATGTATCAACAGAACAGGCCGGGGTGGCTCATGCCTGTAATCCCAACACTTTCGGAGGCCAAGACGCGCAGATCACTTGAGGTCAGGAGTTCAAGATCAGACTGGCCAACATGGTGAAAGCCCTGTCTCTATTAAAAATGCGCCACAGCAGAGCAAGGGAATGTGGTCCCACCATGTTCAGGAACCCACAGCTGTTTCCATATGCTTGCCATCCTCAGTTTGACCTCTAGGAGGCTAGAGACTGAGTAGCTAAGGTCAGCCACACAGGCGCTGCTTGCTTACGTGACCCACCCCCAATAAAAATGCTGGTCACAAAGGCTCAGTTGATTGGCCCTGGAGGGGCAACCCTTCGCACATGATGTCATATGCTGTTACTGAGAGACGTAAGTGCATCCCCAGGTGACTCCACTGGGAAGGGACATTTGGACATGTGTGCCTAGCTTCTCCTAGACTTTGCTCTAGGCACTTCTTCCCTTTGATGATTTTTTTTTTCTTTTTTTGAGATGGAGTCTCGCTGTGTCGCCAGGCTGGAGTGCACTGGCGCGATCTCGGCTCACTGCAACTTCCGCCTCCCAGGTTCAAGCTATTCTCCTGGCTCAGCCTCCCAAGTAGCTGGGACTACAGGTGCATGCCACCACACCCAGCTATTCTTTGTATTTTTAGTAGAGATGGGATTTCACCATGTTGGCCAAGATGGTCTCGATCTCCTGACCTTGAGATCTGCCTGCCTCGGCCTCCAAAAGTGGTGGGACTACACTACAGGCGTGAGCCACCGCCTTTGCCCTCTTTAATGATTTTAATGTGTATCCTTTCACTGTAATCAACCATTAACAGTGAGGATAATGGCTTTTTTGAGTTCTGTGAGTCCTTTGAGCAAATCACTGTGCCAAAGGGTGGTCTTGGAGAATTCCTGAAACAATATGAAAGTCTACCAGGCATTTTGTAAGCGTCTACGGTCACTGCCAAGTGCTGAGAAACCATCTGAAAGTTTCAAGATATTTAAACAATGCTATTAAATGTATCAATCTCTGATTGCTCTTTCCATATAAGGACTGAGGTGAAAAAATGATTAAATAAGAACAAGCTCTCTCATCACAAACTGAGGCATATCTGGTTTGATGGCAATACTGTATTCAAGTGACTTTCGAGGACATTCTGTTAGCCAGTGGATAATACTAAAATAAAATGTTTAAATAGTAACAGAAACAAGCTGACAATAATCAGAGAGAAAACAGAAAAATACACAAGGGAGATCTCATAATTGAAGGCATACCTTTATTTCCTTTATGCTGGGAAGTGGTGCATTTAGAAATTCCTCAGTTAATCTCTTCCAACTAGCAGCTTTGCTTAGATCAGAATGAATGACAAATTTTTCATAAATTCTAAAATGTAAAACAAATGATTATAAAGCTGTCCTAAAAAGATCTATAAGAAAATACAGGCCAGGCACAGTGGCTCACGCCTGTAATCCCAGCACTTTGGGAGGTCGAGGTGTGAGGATCACAAGGTCATAAGATCCAGACCGTCCTGGCCAACCTGGTGAAACCCCGTCTCTACTAAAAACACAAAAATTAGCTGGTAGGCATGGTGGTGTACGCCTGTAATCCCAGCTACCTGGGAGGCTGAAGCAGGAGAATCCCTTGAACCAGGGAGTGGGAGGTTGCAGTGAGCCGAGATTGAACACCACTGCCCTTCAGCCTGGCGACAGAGTGAGACTCTGTCTCAAAAAAATTAAATTAAATAAAAAAATAATAAAATACATATATTTCTGAATGTATATATACATACACCGACTTACCCTTCAATTGTTTTTTCTATTTTGTGGCTGTTGACATCCAAGAAACGGTGAAATCTAATAAAGACAAAATGCAGTTCTTATGCCAACTCTGTCACATACGTAAGTGAACTCATCTCATGGCCCTCCACATCGCCCATATGCTCTGTACTCAGCTACACATTTTCAGAATGGAGTGTACCTCGTCCTCCGTTACCTTCACCATCAGGCAGGCAAATAAGCATCGTGTTCAAGACTATCCTCAGCACACAAATGCTTCCTGAGCCTCCCAGCCTTGTCCTCTGGCTCCTCTATCTTCCCATAAGGCCCCGTATCTAAGTCCAGCGGAACACATTCTACATCGGGTGTTCCCAATCTTTCTATGTCATAGTGAGGCCCAGTGAAGCATAAGGACACCTTCTCTGAATAACGTTTCTAAATGCCAAAAAAGAAATACAAAGGAATCCGATTATACTGAGATACAGTTGTCAAATATTTCAGGAAGTTTACGGTAAGTAATGTTATTTATGAAAGCATTAAATAACAACATTTAGCAGTAGGTCCAATAACTACCATTAAAATAATGGTAAACAATATTTACAAATATCTACAACTCTTACTATAATGCGAAAACAATATGCGATTTCTACTGGTGATAAAAGTCATAGGTCGTCTAATACTACTAGGATTTTCTGCCTTCATTCATAATGGAAGAAGACACTGCTTTTCAGTTAGAGATTAGTACAATTTTTTCCTCATCCAAATTAACAAATTTCGGAATTATAAAAATCCATATCATATATTATACTGTGATTAACTTTTGTCTCTTTCTTAAAGACAGAGGCTATATCTTACTCATCTTTGAATTTCCAGGGCCTAGAATTCTAAATAGCCACAATTTAAAAAAAATGTAAACATGAACTATTCATTTTTCTGATGGTTTAAAGCGTTATAAAATTAGAGCACAGCCTATGCAACTAATGTATATGTACACAGCATAGTCTATGCAAAAAACGTTTTGCCTTTTTTTAGTATCACTGCCAACAATCTGTACTTAAAAGAAAATTTCACTACTGAAAACAACATCTGATTCTATTCCAGTAAATGGCTAAATGGAACACTACTTTACCTATAATTTGGTTCCTGAAATCTGTGAAAGTAAATAGTAACCTCTAATGTCTCTCCCAGCTCTAAAATGACGAATATCTGCCTACTGTAATTTACATATATTAATAGGAAAATAACTTGGGATTCAGCATTTACATTTCTGTATTGTATAACGTATTTCACACACTATTTTTCTAAGTTACAGTTAAGAATTCAGTGTATTACTTCGGAAACTTGGCATGCTTTAAAAGAATCTGAAGGCCCTGTATCCCTATCATGAACCAACTAACTAGATACTTTACCAGCTATGATCATTAAGGTAACTAAGATTACAGGTTTTGAAAGCCTAATCGTTATTCAAGAAGATTTTTACTGAAATTAAACAGGTAGAACATTAACATTCTTTCCATAATAATTTCATTATGAGTAAGGAACTAAAATATTGTTTAATTTACATCTCCCATAAAGAAAAATAGGAGGTCGCAATCTACCTAAATATCTAAACTCTAAATCTACCTAAATATCTAAATTTTTTTTTTTTTTTT